CCCTCCCGTGAACGGGAACAATCCTGCAGTTCGGCTCCAGAGACCTTGCAGAGCACCGGGACCCCCCAAGCCCATCGCTCTGACTCCCGTAGACCCAGCTGATGGCTATGTGGTGACCATGGCGGTGACCATCTCCTGACCCTGCCGGGAGATACATGCAAACCCCATCACACTGCTCTTTTCCAGCACTCCCAGTTCACAAGGATAAAAAGACATGCTGGAAACAGACCGTGACTTTGCCCCCACTGTTTTTATCAGGCAGGCAGTGGGTATCTCCTTATGATTTCTAGTCTTCTTTAAAGGTGTCCAGGATGAGCTTTTTTCCAACGGGACTTTCATGCCAAGTCCATTGTTGTGGCTGGTGGGAACCTTCTCATGCCAAGGGTAGTAGGACAGGGCAGAACCACATTCTCAGGGGACAAGGTGCCCCCTGAATTAGGGAACATGCAGTGGGTCTCCCAGGAGGATGAATTTTTGGCAGGGACCATGGCCCAAAGCAACAACAGCATGCAGATGTTTTCTCCGTGTTACTTTTAATGGGTTTAAGGTAAAGCATCAGGGCAAAGAAGTCTAGGCTCTGGCTCCCGTGTCGGTCTGGCACAGCTCTAAGACATCTCTACTCGATCCCTCTGCTCCTCTCCCTGCAGCAATCTCATAGCAAATTATTCCTTCATTCTCTTCCTGCAAAATATGTGGCAAAATATGCATTGTCGCCAGGGAAAGCACACATTTTTTTTTCTCTTTTGGGTGAAAATAATTCATGCCATGGGTGACCTAAGCTAAATACTTTCCAGTAGTGCCCTTTTATTTATTTTTTTTTTAAGCTTAAGTTTTTAATAGAACAACATCAAGACAAAACAAGTTACCAGCTAACATCACCATCGCTTCCAGCACTCCCTAACCATAACTGGTCCCACCCTGAGCGGGCAACCTCCCTTCTTGGTTGGTTAAACATCACATTTTATCACCTGCCTGGGCAAAGGTCTCCAAGACCCTTTCTTCCCAAGGAGGAGAGGGAAAACACAGCGTCTTTGTGTGGCTATTCAAGGGGTTTGGGTCCAAGTTTGCAGCGAGGAATGCCCATCGCGCTATCACACGGCCAATGCGTGCTCCGGCTGGCATCCTGCCTCTGTCGGGAGCAGGGTCAGGCTCTTGGGCTGCTCCAGCATTTTTTCCCATATATTCAGCCCATGCATGAGTCCCGCCCGAGCCTCTAACTCTTTGCTGAGATGTCTTTGACAGAAGGATCTGAGCTAATCTCCTGACATGGGGCTGTCCCAGCTCTACGCAGATAAAATAAATATTTAGCTTGAAAACATCTAACAGTTTTCAAAGAGCTGGGGATGGCCTGAGCATGTTTAGACTGTGTGCATAGCAAAGGGTGCCGATGCCTTTAATCATCGTCATATGTATTCGATGCTTTTATCTGGAGATCTTCACAGTCTGCCACGGAGAGGCTCGTCCTGTTCATCTCTGTTTTACAGATAAGGAAACGGAGGCGAAGCCAGCGAGGGTTGGATTTGCTCCACCTCCAGAGGACGAGTATTCGGGGCACCACGTTTTGAGCCAGCCTACTCTGTTTCCTCTCCGAGGCCAACGCTCCTCCGACGAGATGCCTTGAGACATGACCAGACAGCAGCAAGAGTCTCATCCATGTTTCCCTGCTGCTGGCGGTGGCAGCCAGCGTGGGCCAGTGCCACTTGCGCCCACATCTCAGCACTGCTGCCTGTTTCTCTCTCCGCTCATTGCCCCTGGTTGCAGCTGAGCAATGGGTTTGCAAAATTGCTCCGAATTACAGATGAAAGGCAGTCCTGCTTTCTGCTTTGGTGCTTTACATCACCATGTAACATCTCTTCCCTCCAGCAGGCTCAATTTTATTTATTTATCATTCATTTTCAGAGATGCTTTAATATAAAGTAATTAGTACTGCGAGTAGCATCAAGCCAAGAACAAATTAGGTTATAACACCATGTCTACTCTCCCTGGGTGCTCTGGTTTTTTGGAAGCCCAGCAGGAGAGGCTCCTCCCTGCACTCTGCCTGAGCTCTGTAGCCAAGAGCATCACGAAGGGAGTGCAGTGCCCTGGAGCTGTGGGCAGAACGGGCTCCGGGAGCATCACCCAGAGTATGCTGCTGGTGGTGGAAGATGTCACAGGGAAGCCTGTCCCTATCCCAGCATCTCCTCTGCTCTCACGGTGGCTGAGGAGGAGCCAGCTGAGCCCTAACTGAAGAAATGAGACATATTTTTCCCTGGAAGCTGCATGGGCTTTAAAGAGAGCCTGATCCAGGGGCTTATAACCCCATTTGAAAAAAAAAAAAAAAAAAAAAAAAAAAGATTCCTTTTGAATTAACACATTCACATTTGCTCTCTCCATTCAAATGCATATTTCCCCTGACCCACAACTTCTTCCACACAACATTCTTCCACATCAGATTTTCCCAGGAGCTTTTACTGAAAACAACTGTCTTGCAGCTTCAGCAGCATACAGCCCTCCAGAGAAAATAGTGCTAAACTGATGAGGTGGTCCTTGGATGAAGGCTGCCAGGCACAGAGTGTGAGGAGCCTGGGCAGGAGCTGGCCCCAGCTGGGGGAAGGAGGCATCCCCCAGCATCCCTGGACTCAGTGCTGGGCTTGTCCACCCAATGGTGGTTTACAGATCACCCTGCTTTTCTCTAGCTCCCCATTTAGCCACGGACTAAATCCCTTCAGAGGATGACAAGCGTAAACCCAGCTTTTGGTATCAGAAATCAAGGTACACCTTCATGTCTGGGGATCCTGACTTTGCCAGCCCCATCCATCTTCCAGCCCCATGAGGAGGCGAGGTAGCCCAGGGAATGGGTCGCATCCCGGGCTGGGCTGAGACACACAAGCATTTGCCAGGGCCCTGAATCACCTTTCCAGAAGCAAAACTAATTTTTTGGCTTCGGATTCTTAAGGCCACCAGCTTTCCAAGAAATTTTAAATCCGGTAAAATTCACCCAAATCCTATAATCACTCATGGAAACAAAGGCTGGACCGATTATTTTTGCTAAAAAGCTGGCAGGTTTCCAGGTTCACGAAACGCAGCTTTGCTGAAATTAAAAATCTCTTCTGAGCAAAAACGCTTATCAGTGGTTTTTAAAAACAAATTAAAATAAGGCATTTCAGAAAAAGAAAAAAACAAAACAAAAACTTCAAAAATAGCCTTGAGGATCTCTTTAGCCCCAAGGCTGGAAGGGGAAAGTTCACACTTATCTTTCATCTGTTTCCCCCCACCCCAGCTAAAAGAAAAAGGGGCAGGCGGGCTATTTTTAGGCTCCTGTTCCTGCTGTAGATGAAAGGAAAGCCACTTTTCCAAAAGCTGGCTGGAGCTCTGCCTGCCCCAGCTCTGGGCAAGTAGTGCTTGGAGCAGGTTTTGGGGATCAGGAGTTTATTTGTGGGTGGCCAAACGGAGGGGTTGAGGCAAGCTCAGCCTAATCCATTTCAGAGCAGTTGCCAGGGACTTTGTTGCAGGGAGGTCTGCAGAAGATGAACTCTGCAAAAGATGAACTTGGATGCTGCTGCAGCACTTCATCACCACTCAGAGAGAGGCCTTTGAGGCCGTCCTCGCAGCTCATTGCTGGGTGGTGAGAGTGAGGTGAAGAGCAGCACTCAGCCCTGCGCCACGCACAGCAAGAGGACCACAGGAAAGGAGCTCACACACCTCTTTGCCCAAGCTGCTCCTCAGCTCTGGGGTGCACGAGGAGGCAGGGAGACATCTCATTCCCCGATGCCATTGCTTTTCTCCAAACCTTTCCCAAATTCTTAATAATCTCCTGGAAGTGCAAGGACCAGAACTGTACAAAGCGCTCAACCCGTGGGTGCACAGTAGCTTTAGAGAGGCACAAAGGTGCTCTCAATTTTACTCCTTTCCTAACCGTCCCCGATAGATGGTTTACCTCTACTGCTGTCAGATGTGGAAATATTTGGGTGAGAATGGCTACCATAGCTCCAAGATCTTGCATCAGAGTGGCAGAGGCCAGCCCAAAGCACATCACCTGAAAGGCGAAGGGCAGCCTGGTTTTTCCCCTTATGCATTCTTTGGTACATACCTACAATGACCTTCAATCATCCTTTACACTATCCACTTTCAGTTTCACAAGAGCTTTTTGCAATTCCCCAGTCAACCTTCTCCTTCAGCATCCTAAATTACTGTCCATCATCAAACTACCCCTTGGTTTTATTGACTACATTATCCAGCCCAGGTCTAATAACACATGCTACCAGCAACCTCCCTTCCTGGAGACCCCCTCTATTTCCCCTCTTTAACCACCTATGGAAGGACATTGCCTGTTATGCCATAGCTCTTGAGCTTCTTTAGAAGCCAGCAGCAATATAAAACAGTTCACCCTTACCCACGTGTTTTTAAGTGCTTCAGTGAACTTAGAGAGGTTTCTGAGACATTACTTCCCTCTACAGAAGCACTGTTAACTCTCCCCAGCTAATACATTAATTGTATCCTGTGGAATAGTTTCTAGTCATTTGGCCAGTATAGACATGGGGTACAGACAGCAAGAAAGCCCCTGAAGGCTTTCTTCAATGTCCTGTGGAAAGACAGCATAGCTGCCCTGGTCCAGGAGCTGTTTGCAAAGCTCTTGCTTGGGAGGATGCAAAACCTTCCATAACTCCCCATGCATTAATTTCTGCACAGCCTCACACCAAATACTCACCTTGCCTGGACCCCTTAATCCACACAGCAGTGGATTTAATACCCCTCTATTAAAGGCAGCAGCCTCTGGAGAGACTGCTGGGAATTTACGAGCTCGACTCTTAGAAAGTAAGAAATAGAAGTTTCATGAACAGAGTGCTGGGCAGAGGAGTTTAAAACATACATAGGAATCTCTATCACCCAAGTCTTTGCCTACAAGGTTGATGAAGGCATTATCTGTGGAAGCAGCTACAGCCAGGAGCAGCCCAGGCCTCAGCAAGGGACCAGGGGCAGTGCAGGACCCAGGACACAGTTGCTTTAAGTAAGTTTCAGGGTTAGTGGAAAAATGGTGGAATTAGTTGATTTTATTGGAAAATAAAACCAACACAGCAGAATTACAAGAGGAATCTCGTTACACTGGGTTTGTACTTTGTTAAAGGTCAACAACAGGACAGGTTATTTTAAAAGAATTTACCTTTGTAATAGTAATTTAAGATATTCGGCATCTAAAAGCACCTGCCATGTAGAAACACTTTCCAGACCCCAGTGAGGCACCATCAACTTGAGCAGGCACAGGAAATAGAGGCAGTGGTCCAACAATTCGGTCAATCCACTTCTAGGCTTCCTAATACCAACTCAGAAACGGTAAAGCCACATGAAAAAGCACTGACTGAGGATGAACTCATTCTACAGGTTCAAATAATTTTTTTTTTCTTGAGCAGATCTCCTTTGAAGCAGCAAGCTTTACCCCAGATCAGGTATCGTCTCAAGTGTACATATAGCTCCTGACAGAGATGCTACAAGCCCTGCTTGAGCAGGATCCAGCCAGCACATGCTGTGCTCTGCTCGCTCTGCACGGTGGGCAACCCACCCTTCCCTCCTGACCCTGATCGCCCCTGTCTTACAGGCAGAGCAGGAACAGCACACCTCTGCTATTCCTGCAGGTCCAGAGAGGTGCTGACAGTGACTGACTTAACTGAGAAAGTCAGGAAAAAACAGGGCAGAGACACAGCGATGCGCCTGCTGAAAAACTGAATCAATCTTCTGGTTTTAGAGCTACAAGCCAAAATAGCTTGAAGGCTTGCAATTGTGTCTGAAGTATTCGGTCACCAGCCCTCCCCACCTTGGATAGCAAACAGAGCTGAAGCTGCAAGGGTAGATCTCTCAAGTTGTGCTATCTGTTCCCATCAATGGTGAAGAGAAGCAGGAAAAGGAGCAGTTGCTGCCTGGAGGTCTGCTCACAGCACCAGGGCCTGCAGGTACCCAGCACCACATGGCCAAAGGAATTGCCAGACCTCCCCCTGCTCACCTTGACTCACACGGATAGTTCACTGAAAGTACAGCTCTAAGAAAAATGAACTAAGGAAAATATGAGCAACTGTCTGTAAGCCTGCCAAGGGCCTGTTAGCCCTCATTGCACTGACAGGAGCAGAGAGCCAACAGCTCAGTCGGTGGTGCAGAGGGTTGCTCAGCTGAAAGACCTCTTCCTGCACTGATCCAGAGTCAAACTAAATGAAGGAGGGTACAGATTCAAGGTGGGGCTGTCAGTAGCTGATCTGAGGGAAAACGGGAGCAGGACAGGTTTGCAGACACAAGCCATCCACATTTGGAATGGAAAGAAATAACTAGAGAAGAGCACAAGGCAATTGATATTGAAGGAAAGACCAGCAGATGCCCAATTCTCTTCTCTCCCTTTAAAGTATCTCCTGCAACATGCTGGAGGTCTCAGTGCACTGTGCCTGATGGGTCTGGGGTTTCGGATGCCTCCAGTGGTCTCTTCCAGTGTCTCCATGTGACCAGTCCCAGGCGAACAGCAAAGATCAAGCAAGTAGTTGCCAGCAAAACAACTAGAAGAGAAACAGAAGCACGTTAATGCATGAAAGTCAGTGCCTCTTGTCATACCCCAGCTCCCAGTATAGGGACACCATTTAGGAAAAGAGGAAGAGAAACACCACCACCACCCCCCCATACAAGAGCCATTATCCCCCATCATCAGAGTCGTATTTCAGAGGTAAGAGTTTCACTGCTATCCAGTCAAACTTGCCCAATGCTTCCAGGTCAAGGCATGTCTAAAAGGGCAGGCTTTATGGACACAGGAATAAAAGTGTATTACATTAACAAAACACTCCAGGAATAGTTGAGCTATATAAAGATAGCTATATATATATATATATACACACACTAGTTTGGGAAAAGCACGTTCTTGCCCTACCAGCCAAACAAGCTGAACCACTAAGAACGAAGTTCTGCTGGAGGAAATGCACCTACTACAGGAACACAGTTGTCTGCCAGAGACCACACAAATATTCACATTCCTGGTGGCCATAACCATCAGGAGGTGAGCCTCCAGTGCCCTCATGCCTTTGGCAGACAAGCTCTGCTAAATCCTGCTGTGTGCTTTTAGGCATTATGAGGGTCCAGCTGCCATTACAGCAAAAGGAATCACCTACTGGAGTGGCTGTGATGGTGGTGCCAGTCCAGAAGTTAGCTTTAGCCACTGGTACAGGTCAGTGGGAAGGCTGAAGGGTGGGAACATGCTCTCTTCTGCTGACCCTGTGGTGGGAATAGGCATCTCCAACTGCTACAGCAGGATTCAGAGTTCACACAGCTCAGTCCCTTTCATGCCAGCATAAAGCTACTCAGTGGCGTAGCTTTTGTCAGACTGTGATTGTACAGTATTCAGACAGCTTAAGCCCTTTTACAATGGATGACTACACTCAACTCTGTTACAGTGGCCTGCAGCAACCAAATAATCCCAGGAAAACTTGTTACGGCTAGCCTGAACTCTGTGTATGAGAAGCACACACTGCTCCTATATCCTAAGTTATATAGGGCAAATGGAAGTCCACAGCCTTCATCCCAGCCCTGCTCTTCCTTTGGCCCACCCTGTATCAGATGTGGTTACCAACAGAGGACCAAAGCGAATGATGGAGAGTTCTAGGACAAATATATTGCACTAGGAAGTGAACTTGAGACAACACAAGGTTTGAATCCAGCCCCAAGGCTCATGTGCGATGATTTCTGCTCTTCTCTTTACTTTGCAAAGTGAATACCTTCTAATAAATACCTAGTTCTGCTTTTTATGAAGAATACTTCAAGGCAAGTCTGTCTTTCTGCCTCTAATACACAGATGTGGAATTGTTTACTGGCCTTCTTTAACAAGAGTTGGAAACAGTCCAAAAGATTCACCTATAAAAATGCCGTTTGTTGTTGGGGATGAAAATGAGAAGTTCTTGCATGTGCTGCCAGTCAGAGCTATAACCACCACTGGGTAGATTGTAAGGTTATAGCGGACATACTTGTCAAGAATGAAATTTTCTAGATAAAACCTGTGAAGAAAAAGAATGACCAAAATAAGCATTTTCTCTATGTTGTTTTTCATAGAAAGTTTAAGAAAGGAAACGGGCAAAGAATGTTTTGCAGGCAAGCTTGGACCAGAGCCCAAAGTTGTCAATTTCCTAAATTTTTAATTAATCTTCTGAAATTTATCTAAGGTAATTTTATGGAAAAAAAAAAAAAACACATTCCTTGTGTTTTCCAGAAAGCCTTTACCTGCAAGTCTAGGTCAGGCTGGGCTCATGCAAGTCGCAGCAACCTGTTCCTGGCCCACAGCATACACTTCTTGGCGCTGCTGAGGGTCAGTGAAGAAAAGCTCTGCCCAGGCTCCCTGCTCATCTGCCACGAATTGTAACACAGCCCTTTGTGCTCAGTGTTGTTACAGGGACAGACTACGAATGAATTGGACAGATCGTCCAACCCACTTGTGAGAGGTAGAAGGGGTCTTTCAGGCTTGGGTGGGAACCCATGAGGTTTCTTACCATATTGCTAGGTCAAAAGCAAGGATACTTAGAGAAGCAGTCGTCGCTGTCTCATTGGACACATTCCACTTGTAGATCAACACAACTGCAAAGTTCAGCAGAGTGGCAATGATGGTCCAGGTTGCATACAGTGCCAGCCCGTTCTGGATCTGCCACGTAGCACAGCAAGATAACAAGCAGTGATTAAAAAACAAAAAGGTAATTTGTCTTGTGACCCACAGGTCAGTTAAACCAGCCATCTGGACCTAGACGCAGGGAAAATTCCTCAACATGAAGAGTTGAAACATTGGAGTCCCTAGAATATCCCAGAGATCCACAGCCCAGGGGCAGTTGCACAATTCCCCATACCAGCAACCCCAGGCGGGGTTCCCATCCACACCCCAAAGCGGACAGGCTGTTTGGCTGCACAGCCTACTTGTTCCACACTGCTGTATCTGGCAGAGAACAGGTTTTTTTTTTGAATCTCAACAACCTCCCAGCAAATATCTTTGCCACATGGAGCCTGTAGCAGGCAATAAAGGGCTGGAGTCACTCCTGAGTAAGGATGGGGAATGCAGCTATTCCCATTTCCCTGCGTTATACTGGTGCCTCAGGAAACACAATGCAAGGCCATAAAGAACAGAGCCTGCTCCCAGCTTGTGCCAAGAGACATAGATACATTTCCATCAGAGTTGGTAGGAACTTTTCTGCGCGGAGCCTCCCAGCTTTGCAGACTCCCCCTCCACTGAAAACTCTCCCAGCTTTTTCACCTTGAACTTTTTCAGCTGACCCACTTTCTCACTGGGTAGCACCAACATCAAGCAAAGGAACCAAAAGGCAGTTAAAGTGCACACAGCAGCTGTGGGAGGAACTTGCAGTGGGAGGTGTCCTGGATTGGGGAAAAAGGGGTCAGGGTAGCAGGTTTGAACTAGGGAGGGAACCAAGGATTGATTGAATATGAGTGTTTCTTATTTTGTGTAGTTTGCCAAACACCCACTCTTCTCAAGAACAGCAGAAAAGTAATTTTCTTCCAGAATTTAGCAAGACTCAAAGGCAGCTACATTTGAAACCTTGAGCGGTGTATGCTTCCCCATACAAGAAATATATAATTCTTCGTAGTCTGGGACATCACCATCAGTTACAGCAAAAGAAACCATCCTTAGCAATGGATTTGCCCTCTGCAAGAAGTATTCTTCCAACCCCACACACAAGTCCCAGTTTGAGTTTTCATGCTTCACTGAAAATTTCATTTTGTGGCAGCTGGAGAGGTACAAGGGATATACCCTGATCTGAACCGTTCCTCTGATGTCTGATAGGAAACAGATGCAATTAAGCCTGTGTGTACCTGCAGCAGGCACAAGTTAAAGTCTGGGCAGGAATCTTCCCTTACCTACCATTCTTGATACATTCAGCACTGCATAGAGAGGTTTGTTGTTTTGTTTGTTTGGGTTGGTTTTTTTTTTTGTTTGTTTTTGTTTTGGTTTTTTTGTGGCTTTTTTTTTTTTTAGCTTTTACCAACAACAGTGCTGCCCAAATGCCACCTACTAGGATGCGGATGAGCCAGAGGTCAGCTCTGTGACCCTTCACAAACCACGCGGAATGGATGTCCAGGGCTCGGTGTGAAATGAAGAGGGAGACACATGCGGTAAAAGCGAGGGCTGCCAGGAACGCCAGGGCTGGGAGGAGGTATCTAGGGCAGAGAACATGCACACACAGAGTATACAATACGTTTTTCAGTGGTGTCACAATGCCTTAATTCATAGCTTTAGTGTTTGGCCCCTACTGAGTTTAAGTTAATCAGCCTTTAATAAAGGTAATCACTACATGTAGCCCTCATTTTGGCATACTGCTGTTTTAATCATGACGTTATTTTCCCAACTGCAACTGATTTCTTCACCTCTTGACAGTGGTGCTATTATAAGCCCTTCATGTGACCATGATTATGAAAACAATCCAAGGCAAGGAGCTTAACTGTATTTATGAAGAGAAGCATGGCTCCTCTTACCCGCGAAGGAAAAGATATGAAGACCAGCAGTTTTGAGGAGATCTTAGACTTCAATAACCAATCTACCTGATGGGCAAGATGAAAACACTATGCAAAAATCCCCAGATTTTAATGAAGGCTACCTTTTGCCAAGGCCTGCCACTGTTTTACAGGTGTGATTAAGTCTTCACATATAGCGGAAAGGGCAAAATGAAATATTGGGGCAATCCCCAACAAGAGGTTTAGAAAGCACTTGTAACAAAAGGCCACTTACTCTCGATCCCACAGAAACAGCCATCCAACATTGAGACCATTATTCAGAATCCACGCCACATAAAAAGGTATTGGCAGCAAGTCTGGCTTTATGCAGACACATCCAAGTTCATTCCTGCCAGGAAAAAGTGGGTATGGAAAAAGGAAAACAATGCCTGCATTGACCAGACTTTCCTGGTTTCATCTTCCTCATACTAACAGGGAGTCTACATTGGAGTTAAATATTTCAGGCTTAAATCAGACTATTTCTCCTCTGCATCCTTCTCTGACACAATACAGTCCCTGTGGCTTTGCCCATCAAGACACTGTCCCATGGTACAGAACTTCTTGCCAGTCTCTGTACCACCACTGCACCACCTCAGATTTAGCAGGTGCTAAGGACTGCTCCACAGATGCTGCAAAGCTTGTGCCACTGGTGGTGGCAGCAATGGTAGTCCTGGGATTTTAGCCCAGTTCCTGGGGAAAAAGGCTTACGGGATCGAAGTGTGAGTGCATATGTGCATATATATTTTGTGTGTGCACATACATGTGTACAAGAGTGATCAAGTCTGTACAAGCACACACTTTGTTCCTCCCTCAACCTCCAGTTTTGGCCAGGATCAGCTGAGCAACTTCTTATAAGTCATACAAAAACAGCAGATGCACAAGACACAAATTAAGCAGCCCATGGTTCCCCTTGACAGAAGAGCTGCAACATAGGTCTATCCCACAGAAAACATCACATATTATTACAGATATTGCACAGTACTTCACAAGGCAGTTATTGATCTCTCAACCCCAGGAAGCACTTTAAGTCCAGTTCAACAACCCAAAAGGCTTACCAATGTCTATTCTCTAATCTGACAGTAAATAAACTCAAAGCATTAGCTCCATAGTTCATTAACTTTGCCCCTGGGGATTCTCAGCATCTACCAGTGGGTAAGTGCAGCTACTGGGTAACTCTGATCACATGAATCAGTGGAAACCAGGCCTCACAGAACAGTTTACATGCTTTGTAACCTGTCCACATGTTAGAGCAGTTTATATACACCTCCAAACTGTTTCCCAGATTGGGATGCTGAACTCAAAATATGGTCCAGCAGGAGAGCTTCAGCATGTCAAGAGGAATGGCAGTGGGCTTACTCTGACTAGAAACCCCATAAGAGGGTGTAAGAGACTGAGCTACAGAAGGGAAGAGCCACTGTTCGTCATTTATACTGGAAGCAGTGAAAAATACCTTCGACAGATCCCTGACAAGGCGTAGAGAAGCCAAGCAAGCTGCCAGGCATAGATGGCGTTCCAGATGAGGAAAGTCCAGCCAGCTGGTGTGAAGTCAGTGCTGTACTTTGCTGAGATGTTTCCAGGGGTTGTTCTGAACAGACCTGCAGTGGTAAATGTTTTTGCGGGCAAAAGCGTTACTACATACTAAGGATGGGGAAAGACTGCTAATTTCCCTCAACCTGCAATCTTCCTCAAGGCTTAGTCCACACCTCAGTGGATCTGAGGGAGATGAGAGGATGCCCTTGATGAAAACAAGCCATGTGTTGCATTTGGCTTGCCATTGGACACCCATCATGGGATCATGGTCCCTATGGGAAAGGTGCCCTGAGCACCCTCCCTCATACAGGGCCAGAAAAGCCAGTTGCATGTGAAAGCCAGAGGCACAGTGCCCATTTCTGACAGTCAGCTGGATCATATTCAAACCAAGAACCCTCTATATACCCACAGCAGCAGCCTGAGCAGTTTCCACCAGGGATACAAGGGCAAAGACTGCCTTTCACCTGCCCAGGTTCACAAAGGACAAGACCATTTACTTGAATTTCAAGGGACTGGATAGGGCTCAAGCACCTGGCTGTAACACCTGGTATATACACCAGCCACTCCCATCTTTCACAGATCAAGGTATATTTGGAAAAGCAATGAGGTAACAGATCTATCCTATCTAAGGCACCTTACATAATTAAATGATATAATGCATGAAATCCACCTCTGAAAAAAGACAATTTGCTTGCATTACCTTTGAATATCCCAGTGGCATTTCCAGCATTCAGTATCACCATGACCATGAAAGTAGCCAGAGATAGAAACATCACCAAAATCTTCAGCTTGTGTATAGCATCCATTTTACCTTGCAACAAATTAAGAGAGATTGATTTGCTATCCTAACATATGCATGATTTTGTTCCATGTCCCAGAGTGTTTTAGAAATAACATTGTAAATTCCCCAGTTAACTGCTGACGGTTTTTATGGTGTTGTCATAAGAACTGAAAAGGCCTTGCATGGACTAGGATCATCTTCAAAACCAGCATCCTCTTGACAGCATTGTCAGCAGCCCAGAAAATAACCCAAAATAATGACAAGAAATTGATACTTCCCCAGAATACTCTTCCAATAGCTCAAGAATTTCTAGTAGTAGTGTCTTTAATAGTCTCTCACTGGTTTTTAAGACTGTAAACTCTATGTCCGTGAAGTAATCCAATGACCTAGAGAAAAACCCATCTCAGTGTCTGAGATTGTCCATTACCAACCTCTGCCAGCCCCTAGCACTGTAATGGGTAAAGACCTCTGTACAAGTTTGGGATGGAGAACAAACACTACAGGCACCTGGGAAGGCTGCCTGGGTTCTGGACAGCCCTGACGCAGAGAAGCAAAAAGGCCTTGCTAGGTTGCAGAATTGCAATAAAAAGCCACGTAGGGCCCAGAGTCTTCAGCTCTGCCACCACCTCTGCTTTACTGGCATAGTGCAAAACAGTTCAGGTTCGCCAATGGACGTATTGCAAAGCTTTTAAGGTATAATTAATTAGCAAGCAAATGTAAAGAGTGATTCCAGCTTATCCTACATCACTACTGCAGTCTTACTGAAGCATACAGGCCTATCAGTTTTGCCCACTTTAGGAAGAAAAATCAGAAGACATCTGGCTTTGCAGCCAAGTGCTTTTTAATTCAATATATATTTTTACATTTAGCTCTCTAATCCTACAACTACTTACAGAATAACTTCTCATGGTGATATTGCCTCCTTATCTACTGGCTGCGAGTAAAATTTAAATGCTTTAGCAAGTCTCAAATACTTTATAGACTAAAACCCACACGCTACATTTTTTTTTTCAATGTTTGCAAACAGTGACTTGAGCTCTCCCAAGTGACCTCCATTAGCCCAGAATTTGTTTTATCAAGGAAAAGTGTTGTGCCACCTGTAAGAGTAAGCATACATGCATCTACACTATAGGCAACAGCTTTATTTCTGCTCACAGCTCAGCACTTTAGCTGCCTTCTCTACACAATAGCACTTCAATGCTTTCCAGGGTTGACAGGAATAACAACCAAGTTGCTCCAAGCTGCTCAGTGTTGAACTAATAAATTCCAGTTCCCAATTCAGTGGGTGATTTTATAGTTCCAGGCTTTGTTCATGGACTGAGCTGCATCCAAACACACATCACAAGGAAGTGGGAGGGGAAATTATCTTTACTGTAAATCCATAAGAGCTTTTCCCTTTTCAGTTCCATCTAAACAGGAAAACATCTATTTTTTTTTTTTAATTAAGACCCTATATGGAAGGATCTCATTTAACTCAAGATGTCAAATCTCAATTAGGTTTATGTCAGTCAAATCCCAAAACAACATATTGTCTTCAACAGGTATATAGAATTAGCAAATTCTGAAAAGAAAAATCCACTTGTACCATTAAAAATATAATTTCTAACTCAGGAAAAATCTGACCTGCAGATTTCTAAGAGCCAGGAAAATGTAGGAGAGGAAATATCACTATACATTTCTATTCTTATATTCTTTCCTTGACTTTATATTCTTTCCATTGACTTTTGGCCTCTCCAAACCAGTACATGGGACTAGATGGTCCTTTAATCTCACTGTCAGGCCAAATCTGTTTTCTTAACAGTTCTGTAATTGAAATCAGCACCACGTTTCTTTTTGAATAGTATATTTAGAAGAGGCTTGATTACACAGCTTCAGAGAAACCCATACTTGCTTACGGAAGTCTAGGAGGAAAGACTTATTTTAAAAAAAAGAGTCAATAGTTTCACTACTGTCTATCACCTCCTTCCTCTAATTTATTGCAAGCAATAAACATCCACAGTATTTCCCTGCCTGCAGTTATCAGTCAAACACCTCTTAGAAGAATCAGAAATATTACTCACAAGGATCCACAGAGGCTTTTTGGCAGTGTCTCAGAGCTGTAGTTCAGCTGCCACCAGTGCTGGGGAGTCTCCGCCACTCAATCTTACCTAAAGAAATTTTTATACAACTTTTAGCAGATTAATTACCATGCATTATTTAAAACAATCATGGTAGTTAAGCATGCTTTCTGTCCATGAGCTGCAGCCTTCAACTGGCTGAAGCCTCACAAAAACAAGCACTTATGCAAGACAAATGCGATTACTTAACAAGGGCCTTTTATAACAGCCTGAGCAACACACACTCACAACTTGCTGGCAGACCAAGGCTCATGAGTACATGCTCTCAGGCTCTCTGCCACAAGGAGGGAAACCACGCACTCCAGTGCAAAATCTTGATCCCCAAATCACAGCTAGGGCAGCGCTCCTGTACGGGGGAGCTTGCAGGGGTAGCTGCAGAAGCAGCCTGGATTTGGCATTTGGGGAAGCTGGAGATGTAACACAGCAAGGTCTGGATCCTGTGAGCAGCTACAGATCTTCCTACCCCTTCCCAGAAGGAGCTGAAAGCTGAGCTCCTCAGAACTTGGCATTCAGGGGACATTTTATAGTGTTAATGTTGTATAGATATGAGTAACTTCTCTTGCACAGCAGGCACACATATAGTAATCCTGTGTTTTATATTTCACATCTATTCCTTGCAGCACAATGCATACTCTGCTGCAAATCCCTGAACCTGGCCTCAAAGTTGGGCTTTAAGTAATCCCTGTATCTAAAGGACTCCAGAAAACCCAGAGAGAACATTCCTGATGTCAGAATGAGAACAGACAGGTGAGAAAGATAACCCCAAACCTGAAGTGCTAAAGGGACTTTTCCAAGTTTAGAGATTGGTTTCAAGCATATTGCACAAGTAAATTTTTGTTCAGATATAGAAAAGGCTCCTGCCCTTCACTGCAAGCCAGTCCCACAGGAGCAGAGCAAGACACACTAGCTGGTCAGTCTCCACCTGCATCTCTGCCTGCTAGAGGACTGCAGTTTTACCATAGCTACACCTCTCATTTTATGTTTTCACTTGTTTACCCTAAAATTTAAACAATTATATCCAATTAAAAATATACTTCAACATCAAAATGTTATTTATCTTGTGCAACTACAGTGCCTACCAAGCAGGCAGTCTTGCTGGGGACTCCCTCATGTCAAATATAAAGCAATGAATAAACCAGCACCTATCCCCACTCATTAGAAGCAACATCACGGGGCTGGGAATGAATCCTGATGGTGCTTCCCTGGTACAAAGCCTACATGAACATGGATTTACAAGCTGTGGGGAAGGGCAGGGCATCCAGCTGGCATTGCCACTGCCTGCTTTATCTGTGTAGCTCTGAGGTCCACCCTTTGAAGTTATCCTGACAAGGAAACCAGTGGCTCAAGTAGTATTTCATACCAGCTAGACAATACATTATGCTCTAAACACTGATCACGAACAACTACTCACACACAACCAGTTCCTTGAAGAAAACAAATGCCTGACCTTACAGGATGGTGGCATTAGCATCTTTCTCTCCTTTTTTCACTTTGTGTATCCCCCAGATGTGTACGCAGTGACTTTCCTCATGCCCAAGAAACTGCCTTCGCATTACAAGCTTATAAGCACTATTACAGCAAGTATGGGTTGAAATACAAGTAGAACCACCACACACATCATACAGCCCTCTCTAGTATATTAAAATATACAAAGCCCTTTTTCTGCACTGGACTGTGTCTTATTTATGGCCTACTATATATATATGTAGTGTGTATGTACACATATTTACTCATCAGATAGTCCAAACAACGTCAGCATGTTCAACATTACATTTCCATCCAACAAATGAGAGGTATGAAATTCTTAATACAGACAACATATCTTGCACATGCCTGTTAGGTACAGCTTATCAGCTAGGCCCATGCTGATCTAAATTCAGAGCAAGTTCTGCATGCAGGAAACATTGGCCAGGTGGGAGAACCAACACACACTTTGCTGTCCCATGTTCTCACTGGTTATTTCATAATGCATCTGTCTTGTTGCAGTGAGACAACTGGACGCAATGCCACCATAGCAGTGGCCTCGTCTTCTTGCTGCAGTAAGACAGGCAGAAGCTTTAGGCCCACATTCTGGGTTTCAAAAGATTTTTCAGAATAAACTGAAACACAGGTCTTGGATAAAATATTCGAAATTATTTTATCATGCAGGTCTACAGAAATCCCCTAAAGTACGTTTGAAAAGGACAGAGGAACGTTCTCTGTGCTTATAAATGTGTTAAAACTGAACAGGTTTTGCTTCACTAGGCTGCACAGCACTGCCAAAAGTGGGAATGCTCAGTACACTTGGTACACAGTGTCAAACTCAAAATGAGCATTTATGGAGGGGCCTTACCTTTCTAGTGTATTTTCACTGAAAGAACTTTTAGACTTGTGTCTTCCACGTGAGTTTCAGATGAATGTCTTCGCTGGCCTGTTGAGGAAGAAAAAGTATATTGTTAGATGAGTGACAAATGCAGTTAAATACATTTCAGCCAAGAACTGGCTGTTGGTGTTTGTATGCATAGGCAAAGAGAAGTATGATACAATCCACATTCACAAAAGGATGCATCCTGAAATCAGGATACTCTGCAACAACACTCAATGAAGTCACTGGAACCAATTCCACACAGTCAGTGCTCAGTACGTTAAGACAAGCTACTCTGAATTAAGTGTAAGTTCATGTTCACCTGAGTCATGACAGAGGAAACCAGTTTCCAGCTCAGTTATTTTACCATCATAGTCTTCCACTGATAAGCAGAAGAATATACATACTCTCTTCCTATATTACCAAAAATCTTTTAAAAAGGGTTTATCTTTAGAGCCCTCATTTATAACTTCCCAGAGAAAACAATAAGTTGCTTTTCAAGAAGGAGATGAGTTATACCATGCCCATCCCTCCCCATGCACACTCCCTGTGGCACCGTGGTGTGTTCCACCAGCATCAGGGCACCTCTGACACCAGTTCACACAGAATGGTAGGACAGGTTACAATGGGACTACAGCTCTCCTGTCACTCCCCTGTGCACCAGAAAGCAGTGTAAGCATTCACAAGGTGCTGAGCTAGCACGAGCAGACTTTGCACTGGAATTAGTGCCCTGCTGACAAAAAGAAGCTTTTTTTAAAAATAACATGAATCCTCTTGCTAGTAGTTGAAATAAGAAATTATGACTACAGACACTCTCAGTCCCAGCACAGAAAGTGGAAGCCAACTGATTTCTACCTAAAGGTACCACCTGTGGAGGCCCTGCCCTCAAAATAAACTCATCTTGCAATGGCCAGGAACTGAGACCAGTTCATCTGTGGGCAGCTCACTCAATGACACACCATCATTAGCAGGAAACTCCAGGCAACAAAGCACCAGAAGAATCCACTTTTCCTCACCAAGACACTAATTTCAGCTAGGACACAGGTGTTTATTTGGAAACCAGCACAAATAGTTGAACAAAACTAGCGTCAGGGTAGTGGATATATTCACTTCCAGCCAGGCAACTTAAAATAGTCTATGAAAAGAAAAAGCTCTCACTACCAAAGGATGCACACAGGCAGGGAAGAGCTGACCTGAAAAGCAGCTCTGTCAGAGTCCCAAATGCAGATGTGAACTGACTGATACAACTCCTTGTCCCAGACACAGACATCAACAGGGATCCCTGGGTCAAGTCAGAAACTCTCCTTGCCCTGACCCCCACTGAACTGCCAGGCAGCTATCGCAGCTACCCTGAACACCTCCCCAGCAAGGCAGGAGCTCAGCAGCTCCAGACTAGGCTGCCAAAGACTTTTGTCCCTGTCAGCAATGACGAGTATAAATCCAAAATGCATTCTGCCCACTGAGAACTCCACTTTGATCTTTACAGCCACTTGCTTTAACTTCAGCCTCTCCTAATGTGCAGGGCAAACTGGCACCCAATACTCAGTGACCGCACTGCAAATCATTCTCAGGCCACGTTCAGCAAATGCTGACAACCGAATATACTAATCTTCTAACAACTGATCAAGCATCCTAATCCTGCAGTGGGTTAATCTGGATGCCTTCAGTGCCAGGGATTAGCCTTTCCATACTGCTAGACGGAATGGGATTTGACCAGGCACACTAGGATAGGCACACAGCGAAGAGGATCTGTGTTAGCAATCCCCTTTGGGTATTTTAAGAAGGAAAATCATCTGCTTTTTATTGTTGAAGAATACATCCACCCTTTCGCAGCAGGAAAATCTCCCTAGGTTTGAGGGAGCAGAATAGTAAAAGGAATCCACTACCTACTTATTTTCAACCAGACTTTAAGGCAGCTGCCACGCTAAAATTCACTGACTGATCTCCAGATATTTTCACTGAACTCCAAGAAAATTGTAATAAGCATTTAAGTAACTCAAACTAACGCCTGCCCCACTCCTGTGAGAGAAAGATGAGAATAAAAAAAGACAACGCACTTCTGTCTTTAAGCTAAACTTAGTGAGACAAACAACAGAAAATATTCTCCCCAGATGTTCTCACTCACTGGTTATGCATTGGTAACTGTCTTCAAGGGCAGCTCAAGAGCCTACAGCAGCATCCGCAGCAACAGACCAGGGGTACAGCAGCAGGCAGCACTTTCTGGAGCTGGCAGGCAGAATACAGGTACAAGAAACCAGCAACTCACCCCTTCAAACAGGATGACTGTGAAGAGATGACAAAACCAGAAGAGTTAAGCAGGGATGAGCAAGGACACATTTCTATGTCTGGATGTCTCCAGTTCGTAGATTTCATTTTATTCAATCACATGGCACTACTGCTGCTCACAGGAGTCCCCCATGCCCTCCTCCGCCACTGAAGGAGTGACACACAACCAACAGCACCCATTCAGTATTTTGTTTGGCCAGCCTCGCTTCCGCACCCTTACTGATTTTATGAATACAGACATATTAGCCTCCTGGGTAGCTTTTCTCTGCCCTCACCACTATCACCCCTAAATGCTTCACAAGCACTTACATTTTTGTTCCCCCCACAACTCCACGAGGAAGAGCAAAAAGCACCCAGGAAACAAGCCCCTTGCACTGACAGCAGCACAGCAGATGTCTATAAGCCCTCAGAGGGTAGATGGCTATTTTGCAGAGTTGGCATGGCCAGGAACAGAGACAGATAGGAAGGGAGAAGAGGCACCTTGACTGCAGTCAGAGCACAAGTTTGACTTCTGTGAGAGCAGAGAGCTGCCTTCATTTTATAGCTGCAACATCCAGGTCAGCAAGAAACTCTCATGCAGAAAGCCTGCTTTGAAACTTGGGTGTCCTGGTTTTCTTTATGGCATTTTTTTGTGGTACTTTATATGCTTAAATGCAGTGGTGTCATCTATAATTGACAGTGTTCAATAGACATTGACCATTTGAAAGACGCATCTCAAACTGATCGTTTAAAAAATGAGAAATACAACAAACATTTTGGTTGCAGTAGCTTTCCTACAAGAGGGCAGCATGAAGCTTAAACAGACAACTTCAACTCACAGCATTTGAGTGCCTGACCTTAGCATGAACACTCCTTTAACATAGCAATTTTGCAATCTAATTATCTAGGTATTTTCTTAAAAGCAACTGAAGTATATGTAAAATGCCATCACATGGATATATATCACCTCCTACATGAATCATTAACAGAACTGGAACATTTAGTTCCATCACTGTGAGAAATTAGTGGAACAAAACTCAATGCAAGACCTTACAGACAGGGAAGGTGATTTTTATTAGTAAGATTTCAGTAAGTTGATTCTACTCGCTTTCCCATCAAATTACTCACATACCTAGAGCTGTATGCATCTGTCTGGCCAGGATCACCCATGTGCAGTGGGAAGCACATGGGATAACACCTTCACAGTCTCACTGCACCTCCTGAGCTCCTCTATTTTTGGATGCATCTTTTACACCCTTTAGCAGTGGATACTACAGTCTTGTGCCTTACCCCTCAGGAGTTTCAGGCAAAAAATTAGAATTTTCTTATGCTTATCTAGGTATTTCACAGCTTCAGTACTGTTGATCATCTGGTTACCTTATCCTCTAAGGCTTCGGTTTTTCTTTGTCCTCTGGTTATTAGCATGAAACACATGGGGTGGCTCTGCAGCAATTAATACATGCCACTCCTTCAACCCTTTACCTGCTGTTTTTCTGGTATCTTCAGCCATGCATTTCCATTTACACCAAAATCAGTATTTCTGTTAAAAACATCCTTATCAGGCAGGTCTGAACCACACAAGATCCTGACACAGCTAATACAAGTCGAAAGCTGTCAGCTTTCTGTGGACCAGGGCAGGGAACAACCTTGGCAGCAAATTACAGTTTTTGGCTGGCCATACCGAAATGCAGAGGTTGAAAATTTCTGCGTATTGTGGCAAATTTTAGACAGCAGTCCCTCTGATTCTCTTGTGTTTATGTTGCCATACAAGCTTAATTCACCCTCTTTCCCACATCCCTCATCCTTGCTTCTGCATCCACTCACCTATCTCAATTCTCATTATTCACAGTTGCCCTTTCCCCTTCCTCTTAGGGAAAATATAATTTTCTAAAGGCTGTTTCTGCCAGCCTCTACTGTCTCCCACAAAGATGTGAATAAACGTTTTCAGACCTATAACTCAGAATTATTTGGCTACTTTTCAAAGTCAAAATAAAAAGCACACCCTTTGTTCCAGCCAAATTTCCAGGCTTCCTTTCAGAACATGGAAGTGTTAAAATAATCAAACCGTTATTTCAGTCAAAAGCTTAAGACAAAACATGTTTCCTCCTCAACTTAGTCAAAAACAGCAAGACCTTTTGTACTAGAACTTCTCAGAAACAAGCTAAGCCTGAGGCAAACGAGAAACAATGGAAAATGGCAGCAGCAAGGGAAAACCGCAACCAAAGAAGAAATTTTGCTTAAGTCAGAAGTGAAAAAAATGGAGCTCTAGCAGAAAGCATAAGGAAGCAATAACTGCAAACAGTGTTGTCATTTTTGCCTACAGTAAGTGTATTTATTATTGTAGACATGCATATGCACACCCATGTATCTAGATCCTCACAGAGCACTTTGCAGCCTCTCCAGGGTCATGCAGTAGACTGTTTCTCTCATTCAAGCTGGAGACCAAGTATGTCCATGGAAAGCTAGATGAAGACAAGGGCTTTACATCTCAAGAAGGTGAAGTGCAGCTTCTCAGAGAAGCTGTTTTCAACCTACAAAGGTTCCCAGGCCCTGCCATACACCACTGGAGTCCTGCCCACTCCTACAGATGTGGATGAGGACGTACTCCCAGTGTATCTGGTGATTCGGGGTAATCTGTCTTGGACTGGAGAAGCCTTAGAGGAGGCTTGTTCTTTGGAGGGACTGGATTTCCTTCCTCAGGTAACATCAGAACACGTCTAAAGAACAGATATCAAGAAGGGTCAGCAGCAAAAATCAGCCACCTCTTGAAAACCAGTAGCAGCAGATTGATGAGGACTGAGCTCCCAGTGTCAGAAAAAGACAACGGGAGTCCCATCCCTGGGTACCTTGAAGAGGTAACATCAAGTCTGCAACATCCACTTCTTACCATATTCTCCGCTGAACACCAAAAACCTACGTTGTCTTAGTTCCAACTCCCTTCAGGGTTATCATGATGTTACTTTTTGCAACTCAATCTTCAAAGCAGTGGCTGCCCTTTCTCCCTACTAATTAATCTTTAGTGAAACTTATGGTGTTAGCAGTTTTGATCTGGTTATTCTGTTGAGGCTTGTCTACAGTCAAAATCCCCAAAGCCTTAGCAGTGTCATCACTGCAAGCTGGCTTCTCAGGCAAGAGAGCAAGCTGAACTGTCAGCTCTCCAGATAATAATACAACAACATCTTTTTCTGCATTACAGCTTCCAAACATCTGAAAGTGCCATCAGCACGGGACTCTGGTAGTCGCACAGTCTAAGGCACCTCACTGTCACGTAATGTGGGCCATATATAATATATGCACATACAGGTGGCTGGCTGGTCAAGCCCCACACCTCTTTCATCAGCATTAGAAGCTCAGGCTATATCACACAAGTTGAGGCACATCAACTTACTTTGTTTTGAAATCTGTGGAAATGACGGAGTCAGGTCCTCTAGATCTACACAGCATCATTCTCACCGAGTGTATTTTTGTTTTAAGGCACAGAAAGGTTATTAGTAGCCTATAAATAATCTGTTTTGCACATAACCTGCCCATCTACCACACAGCCCTGCAAAGCACCTATGTATGAAACACCAGCAGAAAAGATCCACTTTGAATAACTACCTGTAAGCAACCGGGAATTGAGGAGAATCGGGGTTAGTATTATTAAAAGACTTGCTCTGACCACAGATACTTTCTCAGAAACCTCACCAACAATGTGAGAAACAGAACACATGAATTCCACCTTTAAAATTAGGAAATGCACACTGAATAGGACAAACCCCAGCACCTAGGGTTTTTCTGTGCAGTGTAAAATAGCCCATACGCGACATACAGGACAGTTTTCCTTAAGTGGGTTTGAACCACAACAGCTCCAGTGTTTTCCTTCCAAATTCATTCATCCTTTGTGGCAAGTATAGTTCAACCCTACCTGTTGCAGTAATAAAACAAAGTAATAACAACTAGATCCATCATTCATTATGATGAAAGGACTATCTGTCATAGCTGGATCACATTATATCATTGTAGGCTATAAGTCTCCTCTGATTTTACTCACCATAAAATGAGCACTTGCTTAATTAGGGAAAGCTTTTGAGCCAGAGACTTGCTCTCAAGACATGAGAGTGTTTTCCAGGAACACATCTCTCACTTGGCTGGATTCATCTGAAAGGAGAGCCCTGGGTGATATGGCACAGCAGTAAAAACCTTCTTTTGCAATATGCCGTACAACAGAAAGTGGGAGTGTTTGAAGGAAGATCACTTCAGTTTTGTTGGAGGAAGAGGCATCATGATCACTTTATAAAACTCTTAGTATTAAAATCCATTATGCTATGGGTTCACAGCCCATCTACACTGTACTGAAAAAGCTCCACTTCCAAAGGCTGCTCCACCTGCCAGATACTTCTTTTATACATCAACTTCTACATCCAACAGAAAAGGAAATTCTTATTTAAAAACAAACAAAACCCCTCCAAGTCCCAGTAGACTCCTGCCTACACCATCCTGACCGTCAGCAGTGATGCCAGCAGGATCTCTGCAGGCACTGATGGTTTACTTGCCCCCCCCCAGATGCACAGCATCAGAAGAACTCTGCTACATTTCTGCCCTCCCAACCATCAGTGAGAGTCAGACTTATGCACAAGAAGCCACTGGTCTCAAAGAGTTTGGGAAAGAGCTCAGACCACACCAGAAGGGTGAGTGCTAAGCTAAGGCCTCCCAGATAGACTGTCTGGGGGATCTTTGTGCCTAGGACAAAGCTAGAGCTTGTTACTCAAAACTACTCTTTCATGTCAGTCACAGGCAGCAAGATTTCATCATCAGTCAACACAGTTTGCAGAGACATTTCAGAGAAACCACCTCATCCACAGCACTTAAAGAAAACAACACCTGTGAAACCATCCTGAGAACAAAAGAGAAATATAGACGTAAAAAACAAACAAACAGCGGGCTTGAGTCTTCACCTAACTGAAAACAAAAGTCAGCTTGTGGGCAGAAATCTAACAGGAGGTAAACAGGCTCAGGAGCCCTCTGGTAGGCAACACAGTGTCTCAAGAGGCCTTGGGCAGATGGTGGCATGATAGGCTTCTCCATCTTCTTACAAGAAGATAAATCCATTTATGATTTTTAAATCTAGACCTGTTCCCCAGAGGAAAATACTAGATCAGGTGGCTTGAGACAAATACAAGCAGGAAAAAAAAAATATATATACACATAGCAAGAACTTCTATTGAAAAAACCCTGGAGGAGATAGTTACCCAAGTGACAAGAAGTAGAAGAACAGCAATAGCATTTACCTACACCAAGGAGCAGCACTGTCTCACAAAGAGGGAGAAGGAGACCCCAGCACAGGCAGCACCCTCACCCACCGCTGCTGAGCGGAGCCGGGTGCTAGTAGCAGCTTCCACCAGCAGCCCCAGACACAGCAAAAAGGTACACTGAGCCCAGGGTTTACCTAGGGGTTGCAGTCAGTGGAGGGGGCTGGAGACAAGCTACACCACCTCCCCAAAGGCTCCACCCAGGCAGCAAACCCCAAAACCAAGCCACATGTAATGCAGCCCAAGGCGGAGCTTAAATAGAGCTGCTGGGCAGAGGGATGGGTGGAGGCCCCAGCTGAGGCTGCTCAGAGCAATTAAGACCTATGGGTGCACTGGGAGCGTGTTGGGTTTTTTTGCTGAAACCCCACAGCTGCAGCTGGTCGCAGCCGGGAAACTGGAGGAGAAGCAGGATTGCTTTCTCCATCCATGAGGAGCCGTTGCAGCTGCGAGGCTCCTTCCCATTGCATGCCACAGAACCATGCAGAGGTCCAGCACAGCCCTTGCCTGCTGTGCAAACAAGGACGACTGACCACTACAGTCTCTTGTTCTTTTTTTTTTTTTTTTTTTTTTTTGTCTGGCCGTCATGACTGTTAGGTCATGGTTTTTGGTATTGGTGCTGAAAGGCAGAGCAGTCAGGGGCTGTACCTCCTCTTCTGATTTAAAATGCTGCAGCCAAAAACAAAAAAGATTTTTTTTTTCCTCAGTGCTACGTAAACCTTGATGAAAAAAGAAAAATTGTGGATTTAAACGTTCTGTGTCTTGAAAGGCTATCTAAACAGTCGCTTGATGTGCCCTCCCTCAGAGCTGTGGTAGTGAAGACCTCCAGTTTATTCCTCACTAGTGCCTTCAGAATTTTTTACTTTTTTTTTTTTTTTTTTTCTTACTTCTTTCACCTGCCTCCATTCACAGCACTTCTTTTGGCACGATATCCCCCTTTCCTGGTCATAAAAAATGCCTCCCTTCCATAACAGAGCTTTTCACAAGGTCCCCGGGGCAGCTCCCCTCTCTCAGAAAAAACAGCAGGACATTCATGGAAAAGGTTGGGGAAGGCCAAGTTTGTCTCTTTGCTTCCAGGCTTGGGGAGTCACCGACACCCTGCACAACTGCTCATCTTGAGAAGAGTTAATAGGGAAAATGCCAGTAGGTGGTGTCCAAGAATAGCTTCTGGATTCAGAGATGCCAGTGAAACCTGTGTTACACCCCGGGCTCCTCTTACAGCTGTCGACATCTGCACAGTGGAAAGGGGTGCAGGGTGGCTGCGGCAGCATCTCCACTTACAGCACCCTCTGATGACAGGTCCTGCCTTCCTGCAGTCTCCAGGCTATTTTTCTCAAATAAGCGCCATTACTGGACATTGTTCCTGAAGCCGCTTTTTTGGAGGTTTCTCCTCTGAAGAAGGTGGCCAGGCGACAGATCAGGCTACCACCAGAACAAGGGACCAGAGTCTCCACTTCTCTCTTTAAGCAGCCGAGGCAAAAAACAGCACGTGGGTATCTTTAAGTGCATCCTGAGCTGAAAGACATGAATATATGGAGACTTAAATAGGAGATACATACATGTACATGCATGTATATGTATGTAGCGTCTAAAAATGTCAGTGACCACTTGAACTTAACCTAGTGAACACAGCGAGTTTTCAAAGGTACATTTAAACCAGGAACAGAAATGTCCACCAAATGCATTTCTGTCCTGGAGAACATGTGACGGTGGCCCAACCAGGCACAGCTCACGGCTTGTCGGCCGTAGAGGCGGAAGGGATCATTGCTGCCTTTGAGATCTGGCCAGGAGCAGAAGAAGGGACTGGGATGGAGAACCCATGAAAGCCTGGCTTACGGCCGTGGCTGGTGGGATGGGCAGAGGGGAGTGACTGTTGCTTCAGGAAAGGGCTACTTTACCTTGCTGTCAACATCACCAGGACCAGCCAGCACGGCTTCCAGGGCTCCTATGATTGCTCTCCATCTGTCTGCTGCAACGACCAGCCTGCACCCAATGCTTGGCGTGGCCAAGTCCACCCTCCCTTAATGCCAGAAGCCCTCCCTTGCCAGAGCTGCACAGGGAAACCCCGCTCAGCTCCGCGCGTGTATGCACCCACCCCATGCCTCTCGACACAGGCATCCCCTTGGTGCCTCTTCCCACGCCTGTGGCTTGGAGGGGCTGGCAGCTGCCCACGGGAAGGAGTGAATGGGATCCAGGCAAGGGAAGCCACGGCAAAGACCAAGCAAAGACTTTGGCTGTGTGAGCATAGACTGGACCTGGGCACGGAAATTCAGCTGTCGGGACCGTCCCAGGCAGGTTTCGGGCTTGTGCAAATTAACGCTCATCCAGAAGGTTTCTGGGCATGGCTTGGGAATTAGCAAAAGCCAGGGAGAGTTCCCAGGAGATCACAGGCAGTCAGCCATCATCTTTTGACAGCTGAGAGAGTTTAATGGTATGGACACAAGCTCTTCTCTGCCAGTTGACTTCAGCACCAGAGGAAGGCCCTGGGTTTGATTAATTTACTAGAACAGACGTGGCATCAGAGAACTTCCTCTCTAACCTGAGTCTCAGCTTCAGCCCTCCTCTGACTTCTTTTCTAACTTGCTACAGACAGCCAATTCCCTTCTTTTCTAACATTTTGTGATTCTCTGCACAGCAGCATTTGCATATTTTCTGCCCTTGTACCATTGTGCTCCTGCTAACCACTTTGCCCCATCCCATGTTTCTCCTGCAGAAGCCTTTGGGGCAGGGGCTGTGCTCCGCCTGCAATACAGTGCCTGGCTGGAGCCCCATCCTTGCTCTCCCTTAAGCTTTAGTGAGATGAAAATGACAACTACATTGTTCTGTAGTAAGTTGAGCAAATGCTAAATAGGTCTTCTGCTTGTGGCTGGAAGCAAAAACTACGATTCCTATTTACAGGTTTCTCTCTGCCATCAGAGTCACCCCTTGTTGTACCTACTTCCACTCTCAGGAAAATCAGGTATTGCTCAGGGTATGAGCAGCAAGATAGCTGCTGGCTGTGCTAAAGCATGTTATTTCAGCCTGGAGTAGAAATACCTTCCTCACTACTGCAATGTAGTAAGTCATCAGTAAATGCTAGAAAAAAATCTCATTATGGGTATTTTAACTTGATTTGCTTCCTGGAGTTAGGCTGCAGACACACACCACTGTGCTCAGGGAGCCTCAGGGAGAGGAGTCTGATATATTGCAAAAGCTCAAGGTTATATTTTGACCCAAAACAGGAAAGGGATGTGGCTTGTGTAGAAATGAATTCTCCTCATCTTCTGAGACAACTTCTGTCACAACTGTAGGAAAAAAAAAAAAAAAAAAAAAAAAAATTAAGTCAGATGGATGGGGAGACCTCCAGAGAGCCTGTGGAAACGCCTTGAGCACCTTGACTTCCAGAGCTGTTATGATAGCTAGTGGTGCATAAGGAGGACACAGCTCAACATAGCTCTGCGCCCAGGCTACATAGGCACAGAGGAAACAGAAAGTTTTAATATACCTGGCCCAGAGTCAGTGAGAAGGGTGAAAGAGAGATCCCCTCCTCTGCTTTGGTACTGTTTATTCAGACCAGACCATTTTAAGGCTATCCTTCTCCCTCATCAGCCTTTTGGGAGAACAATGGCTAAATGGCACCTTTGAGGAATCAGTGACTGGTTTATCTCATCTCTGCACTTCTTACTACAGTCTCTTCTCCCCGGCACGTGGCTCAGCTTTTGGGAACAAGGAATTGCCCAACGACGGTCTCAGTGGCCACGGGTCCTGGCTGAGCCTGTGTGGATGCTGAGGGGCAGGTCAGAACAAAAACGACACAGGTTGGAAAGCAAGAAACCTAGGTGGGTGGCGTAGAGTGTATACTGCTGTGGCTTCATCCTAGACCGCTAACTTTCCCAACTGGGACAAAGCCAGGAGTCCCAGGTTAGCACAGCTGCAGTGGCGGAGAGGCAGGGAGCAGCTGGGTGGGCGATGCCACAGCAGGAGCCCTTTCCCACAAGCAAACTTCAGGATTATTGCAAGGACAAAACCATGAGGAACAAAATGGTCTCTCAGACAGACAACTTGCAGGTTCCCAGTGCTGGTCCGGGTTCACTAAATGCCAGACCATAGGCGACAGGTGTATCCCAGAGCCATTTCAGCTGTCCGTGAGGCTGTCTGGCTACATTTCAGGCCACCCTCAGCTTTGCCCCATTGGGACTTTTTGTCTTGTTAATCCCACTGTGGTTGCTACCTGATAGAGATGGCACCAGGATCCATTGACTGGGGCACAAATGGGAGTCAGGAAAACTGGTTTCTATTCCCATCTCTGCTACTAATTTGCTGTATATCCATGAGCAGTTAATTAAGCCTCAGCATTCCTCACTTTAGAACTGTGATAATTACATTTATCTCTCTTTGTGAAGAGCAAGGGCTTGGAGACATTTGGTTAAAAGCCCTCAAAGAGCTAAGTGTTGTTATAGTTAGTTATAATAATCTCGGCCCTCCCTGAATTTATAAAAGTTTCCCTGTTCCAGTGACACTCATAGACAAGGCAGAAAACCAAAGAGCATAATTACAGAGTGACTCCATCTTCTGCTGCGGGCTCCTTACATTCCATTCATTTAACTAAACCCAGCTCACCTACAGCCTGTTAGTTACTTTGCACAGGTCCTAAGGGAGCTGTCAGTATTGCAATGATGTGACCACCACTGCAAAACAACTAGATATTTTGTCACGCTGTGCTGGTGATTAAAAGCACCATAATAGCTTTTAACTTCTGAAATAACAGTGCAAAGTACTAAGCCTCAGGGATTCTGGCATTGCATATATGACCTTTTTCAGAACAAGGGAAAAAAATAAGATATTGCTCTTCAAAGGTGTTTAGCACCCTGATTTCTGTTTAGGTGCCTATATTTTAAGTGAAACTGAAAGCTCTACAAAGCAAATAGTTCAATTATTACTGATGTTTACAGTGATGAGCCACTCCAAGTTTCATGAGAGGCCTCATGTACAAGGCCAGTGGGGAAATCTTACCCCTTATGCTCTGTGTGAGCTTGTTTTACAGACTACAAGGTCCAGGCTTAATTTTCTACGTAAGTAATACTCCCAAGGGCTTGCAAAGTCTGAGATAGAACTTACTGCCTTTGTTGGTAATAG